TCCTCTGCAGGCCCTATCCACCAGGGGGAAAATGGGTTTGTCTCTTAGCCTGGCCAGTGTGGTTTGGGAACTTACTTCTCAGGTACCATGACTGAGTTAGCTGTATGAGAAAGTACATGCCTATTCTTAGCAGTATCAGTGCCAGGCAGAGACTTTCTCTAGTTCATTTCTAGCAAGGAGAGGCGCCTTGCCCTTCTATCTATGGGTAAGGACATGGGATATGGTGTGCTTCTGCCTTTCTCATAATCCCACAGATTTCAGTGACTCCCTGTTTCTCACTCATACAGCTTTTTTTGTTCCTGCCACAGAGGAGAAAGTGGCCCAGACTTTTATCTTCCTTCAATTGTAGATACCTGTTTGAAATGTGTGGGGATAATTTGGTTTGTTAATCACATTCCCACGTGGCCAAGAGGTTTAGAGAAGAATTACTGGTTTTTAGAGAATCTTTGTAGAAATTGGGAGAAGATTGTTACTACAGTGCCACTTGGTGCAGGAGATCTGACAAGCTGCCAGAAGGGTGGCAAGGGTGGGCTGGACCTTCCCCAGGGATGAAGGGTGTGCCCTGCTTTGTGCCTGCGGGGCTCATGCAGTTTGGACAGAATATAGGAAAGAATTCTAGAAACGCAAGATGACTATAAGAGATGATCTGTAGAGAAGCTTGAAAGTACTGGGATTTATTTGCCTCAGAGAGAGGTAGCTAGTGGGAGTTGTGTCTCTGCATGTTAGGGTGACTGGGCGGTGATAACCAATCTCAGTCTTCTTTCAGTCTGTGCTAAAGGAAGGGAATTTCAGCTGGGGCAAAGGATGTGCATAGAGGCTTTGGGGATGTTTATAGACACCTTTTTTTGGATATACTGTGAAATTAGAGCAATATATCTTTGGAGCTCTCACCACTTTCTAGGGCACAAATAGGTTTGTTTCAAAAGTTCACATAAAAGTTTTTTGAGAACTTTGAGTAAACTTTTTTTTTTTTTAAGACACAATCTCACTATCATCTAAGCTGGCCTAGAACTCACTATGTAGCCCAGCCTGGCCTTGAATTGGTGGCCATCCTGCCTCAGCCTTCTGAGTGCTGGGATCATAGGCTTGTATCACCATACTCAGCCTGAGCAAACTTTTCTATAGAAACACTTTTTAAAGTTTGTTTATGTTCCCTGGCCAGCCCATAGATGCCATTTAAATGGAGATCATTTTCAGTTTCTTTGTGGTTAAAAATTGAGGGAAAATGAATATGTTATAATGTCAATAATTAAAACAACAGAAAAAATAAGTTAAATGAGTGAGCTGTGTTGTTGGTCTGCCACCCAGTGACTGTTCTCTGAGGCAGAGAGAGCAGTGGGTGGTCATGTGGGAATGTGGGCGCTGGGACCCTTGGTGCACCATCCTTGCCCTCCTTCACAGCAGGTTCTTTTAATTCCATTATCTGGCTCAGCCTCCTTCGGATAAGAAGCCAGCAGCTACTTCCCAGGGCTGTGAGAGGATGGGTGAGATGGTAAGTGTTGTGCTAAGGGGTGGTGCTCTGCACTGAGTGAGTACAAATCTTGGTGGCTGTCCTGTCATAACAGAGGCTTCTGTGGTCAGTCAAGAGCTCCCTGACGTACGTTCTTGGGAACTTCGGGGCTTGATAGTGCTAGTTCTGGTTCTTGGCTGCCGATTTCACTTTCATGTCTTTGCCCTTCTTTGTCTTGACACAAGGATGTCTAGTAATAAAGTAGTACACTCATTCAGTGGTTTGGGTGTCACAGGTGAGCACATTGGGAGAAAGAAGAGTGGATGGTGGTCCTGTGTAAATATGAACAATTTCTCAAAGTAACCTATTGACTGAAAACACAGTGGACTCGATAGGGGAGAATTTGGGGTCAGGGTATTTGTCCTGAGCTCTGAGTGGTACCATTAGTCTAGGATGGAAAAATTACACAGGTTGAGTATCCCTGATTCCTAAACTTGAAACTCAGAAGGTACTCACAAAGTTTTGGATTTGAAACCAGGTAATGTGGTACACATCTTTAAGTTGAAGCAGGAGGAATGTGATTTTTGAGTACAGCCTGGGCAACGTAAGCAAATTAGCCAGACTTGTCTCAAAATTTTTTTTAAAAAATTTTTTTAAAGGGCTAGGTATATAGATTTTGGATTGTCAGATTAGGAAAGCTCAACTGGTAAAGTGTATGTACTATATTCGAAAATCCGAAAAACTTAGAAATTAAATCCGAAACACTTCCAGTTCTAAGCATTTTGGATAAGGCATATTGACAGATATGGTGTGGGGCAGGTGGGCAGCCAGATCTTCATTCAGCAAACTCTTGTTAAGCCCTGTGGATCTAGTACGGAAGGCAGAACCTACCCATCCCCATAGAGCTTGTGTCCTGTTGGGGGTGGCAGTGATCACTTAACTAAGCAAGGAGAGGTGATCGTGTTGTGACTCTGGTCTGACTCTGGTGGGGTCTGCCTTGTGGCTTCTCCTGCTAGTGGTGTGTTAGGAGGACCTGGTCTTCAGGGATTGTCCTTCATGCCTGGCTCATTCAGGAAGTCTAAGCTGAGTTGGAAAGGTGTAGGGCAGAGCTCCATCTTGGCTAGGCTAGCCAGTTCTGTTCAGTACTGGAGATGGCACCCCTATCTTGGCACACCATCGTAGAAGCCTGAGCATAAGCTATTGGTTCCCGGAGCGTTCCTGTGGTTGTGCCATTTTTTGAGATGGCTTTCACTGTGTTGCTCAGGCTGGCTTTAGACTCCTGGGCCACCATACCTGACTTAATTTTTTTTATTTTTATAGTGCTAGGAGTTGAACATAGGGCCTCACACATACTAGGCAAATGCTCAACTACTGAGCTGCATCACCAGCACCATCCTGGTGATCGAACAGGCACACATCTTTTGCCATGCCTGGGCAGGTGCATGAAGTGGGTTGACGTGGTTTTTGAAGAATGTGTTGGCCAGGCACAATGGTCCACTTGTAATCCTAGCTACACAGGAGACTGAGGTGGGACAATCACAGATCCGAGTCCAGCCTGGACAATTTTAGCAAGATTCTGTCTCAAAATAAAAAATAACACAAAGGGCTGGGGAATGTAGCTCAGTAGTAGAATGCCGCTAGGTTCAATCCCCAGGACTGTCCACACATGCACATGCGCACACATAAAGGTGCATCAGTAGTGAGATGTTTCCCTCAGGTTTGTTACAGGCTCACTGATTAGCTTACATTGGTGTGCCTGATCCTTATTTCTGTTTTATTTCTCTACTCTGTTAACTAACCAGAGCAAATGGCTCCTGCCCCAGGCAAGTTTCCTTCTGGCCCATCCTGGGCAGTGTGTGTCTGGGTGGAAAGATCTGAGAGCCTCAGCCTGGAGCTCTCATGCCCTAACCTGAAATAATCATCCACAGAGCCCACAGGGTTGACTCTGGGGAAGGTGGCAGCTGTCTACTGCCTTGAGACTTTAGCCTTTGTTGGTTGCTCCTTCCTGCATCCCAGAATTATGAAATGAGTTTCTTAGAGCACCACCTTCTTCGCTTGACTTTTTTTTTGGGTGGGGGTACTGGGGATTGAACTCGGGTCCTTGTGCTTGCTGGACACAGGAACCACTAAGCTAAATCCCCAGCCCCACTTGACTTTTATTTCCATAGTACACCGGATGTTAAGTAGGCTCTCCCTAAGCTTCTGAATGAAGACCTGGCTTACAGTGCCTTCTGGAAGCTCTCAGCCACGTCTGAGCCTTCTACCATGGCCATGTTGGTGCCTTGACCCGTGTTCTGCCTGTCCACACTCCAGCTTCTCAGTTCTAAGGGCTGAACTGTTACATAGAGGGGGAAAAGAAAAAAAAAGGATTTACTTCTATTGAGCATCTGCTGTATGCCAGGCCATCTGCTAGGCATGTACATTTTTTTTTAACTTCATCCTCTCCATGGACATGCTTGATGGACAAGGAAGCTGGGGCTCAGAGTTCAAGACCTTGACCAAGCCTGAAGTGGCTTCCAGCCCCACGTGGTCTCACAGCTACTTTTTAGGATGGGGGACATGTGTTGGCTGAATGAATGGGCAAAGGTCACAAGAGTTGCCTCATGCCTAGGAATGAGTAGCAGGTACTTTGGCTTAGGTGGGCAGCTAGCACTTGTGTATGTAGGTCTGCTTCGTGCTCACAGTAGCTGTGCACCAGGAAGAGCAAGGGAAGACCAGCCACCTAACGTAGTCCAGTCTTTAAGGGGGGCCCTCAAGACCAGTTTTAGTATTGTGTGGGAATGCGATTGCCTTTCTGGAGAGGGAACAGCGGATGGAACCCAGGACCTTGTGCATGCTAGGCAAGCCCTCTACCTCTGCCCCTTTTAATTTTTGAGACAGGGTCTCACTAAGTTGCCCAGGCTGGACTGAACTTGACAATCCTCCTGCCTCAGCCTCTGGAGTAGCTGAAATTGCAAGCATGGGTCACTTGTGCCTGGTATGTGATTACCTCTTAATTTGTCAGTTTAGAGTTTTCTTTTTTCTTTTTGTTCTCTTCTTGCTTTCTGTTTTGGAGGTACTGGGGATTGAACTCAGCAGCATTTTACCACTGATCTAGATTCCCAGCTCTTTAAAAAAATTTTTTTAAAGGTTGTGCTCAGTTGCTCAGGCTCAAACTTGTGATCCTTTTGCCTTAGCCTCCCAAGTAGCTAGGATTGCAGGTATGTGCTGCCATGCTCAGCCGATTACAGTTTCTTAAAGCAGAACACTGTAGTACGGCTGAGTTATAGTGCTCTCCCTGAGCCCTTGCTCAGTGGCCCTGTGTTGTGTAGCACCTTGGGAGATGGGAGGAAGGCCTTCCTGTCTTTTCACCCCACCCCCACCTATGGGCGTGGCCCTGCCTCCTCATTAGGCATTTCCTACCTGCCTCTGCTGAACCAGGATTCTGACACACCTAAAGGAGTTTATCCCATAAATTAGAACCCCCACTGGGTCTGTGTGCCTTTATCATTCCAGAGGGGTATGTCCAGCTTTGTTCTGAAGCTAGAGGGAAGTAGTGGTTCTGGATCCTTGGGTGCAGCCCTGGGTTTAGGTCCTGTGTGTCTGGGCTCTAGCAATGGGATGGTCACAGTAGTCAAGAGGAGCCAAAGGTAGGGCCTGGCTGCAGGGCTTGACTGGATGACAGACCAGAGCCTACCTGCATGGTATAGGTGTGAACCTTCCCTGCATGGCTGGCTATTCCTGCCTCTAGGCTCCCAGAGCCCCATTGTGACATGTGAGGGGCAGGTAGCATGACAGGCCATAGATGGATAGGATTGATGCCTCTGGGGGAAGGGCCTGGCTCTTCAGATGGCCACCAGATCTAAGGACACTCAACCCTGTGTCCACATGGGTCAGGTGAGTTCTACTTGGGTGTGTTGTGCTGTGCTTCCACCCAAGTGTGTCCAGGCCTTAGCTTGGTGGCAGGGACTGTAGAGTGCCTGCAGCAGTTAAGACAACACCATCATATGGACAGTGCTGGTGGTAAAGACAACGTCTCTTCACAGGCAGTGCCTGGGGTTGGAGCCCTGTACTGCCAGAACCTAGAATTGTGTTGTTTGTGGGTGTCAACCCTGAAACCTCAGTCAGATGCCACAGTAGAAGAGAGAGTACTCCCTCTCACCTCATGCTGGGTTTGATGCTGACCTTGGCCTCTGAGGAGCTCACCTTCTGAGGCATGGCTGTTGTCTGGGTCTGCTGGGTTATACAGTATCTGCCCTGCCTCTCACCCCTCACCCCACCCCAGTACCAGGGATTGATCTCAGGACCTTGCACTTGCAAAGCAGGCTCGATGCCACTGAGCTAAATCCCCTGCCCCTCCCTGCCCTCTTGGCAGTGTTGTAAACCGAGCCCCCATCCCCCCACTCCACACTGCCTCTGCAAGGAAGAGGAGGAAGAGGAGCAGTGTAGTCACTCTTCCTTAGGGTAGACAGTTGCATGTTTGGGGCACAGCAGGAGAGCAGAGTTAAGGTGCAACCTGGATTTTCAGCGTTCTCACAGCTTCAGGAGGAGGCTGGCCACCTAGCCAAAGCTGCCCAGGCTCCCATTCACTGCTGCAGAATGACTTGACTTCTTCACCACCATCCTTAAGTAAGGTTTGTTTTGGTTATCCATTTTAGAGGAGGAAGCCAAAGTTCAGAGAATTAAACTAAGTTGCTCATAATGGGCAAAGCCAGCAGTTTTATTTTTTTGCCATATGGGAGATTGAATCCAGGTTGTCCCATGTTCTAGGCAAGTGCTCTGTCACTGAGCCTCACCCTACCCCAGAGCTAACTTTTAAATCTAGCTCTGCCTGCCTCAGAGCTTTGGTTCTTTTTCTTTCTTACTTTCAAGAGATTCAGGAGATGCCAGGGCCTTTATCTGGCTTTACCATAAGAACTACAGCAGCTTCACATGTTTTTCCATGCAGTAAGATCAAGTAAATTAAAAAGGGCCTGGCTTTGTGCTCGTGGTGCATCGCATTACTTTGACAGAAGATTCAGGAAACTTAGTGCTGCAGACACACGTTACTTTTTTTTTTTTTTTTGGTACTGGGGAGCAAACTCAGGTCCTTGTGCTTACAAGGCAGGCAGTGGAACCACTGAGCTAAATCCCCAGCCCCAAACATTATTTCTTTCAGAGGGAAGAAATTATCCCAAAAGAAAATGTAGAGTAAGGTATTGCTCAGCTGAGCCCAGTCATGGGGCTTGCACTGTGATTGGAGGGCGATGGCCGGGCAGTGCCCTTTCTGGCCCTCACCAAGGTGACATGTCTGCCCTTATTCAAGAACCCCAAACACTCCCTGCCCATTGAAAATAAAACAGAATTCCTATTACTGTAGGTAAGAGAGTTTGAGAAGAGAAGTGCCCAGACAAGAGAGGATGGGGGGCTGGGTGCTATCCAGAGCTGAGTGAAGGGAGCAGGGGCCCAGGCCAAAGGCCTCTACCCTGAGGTGGCCTCTACCCTGAGGCAGCCTCTGCTTTTGGGGGTGGGGGTAGTTTGTGCCTTGACCTGCCCTTCAGACCCCACCCTAGTTTTCCTCTCAGTAGCACCACTGCCAGCCCCTCTAGGCCTCGCTTCAATGCTCTTGCCTTCAGCCTGGCAATTTTAGGGCAAGAGACAGGACATGTCACCCTTTATGCCTCTGTGGAAACAACTTCCTCCAGCCCTGAGCAGGCTTAGGTATCACTAAGGCCCACACTCCCACCATGATTTTGAAACCATGGTGTGACTATGGTAGACCAGTCTGTTAGCTGACTTTGGAGTATACTGTGGGGTTCTGGGGTTTAGCCTGGAGACCCCCTGGCCAGCTGCTGTGTTCAATGGCAGCTCTTTGGAGCTGGGGACAGTCAGACTAGTTTTCTCCAGTGGGAGTTTGCTTGATACCATCTAGATGGAGTGCCTCCTGGGAGCCTTCTCTCAAAGGGGCCTGAGTTACTGGTGCCTGGGAGGACAGGGCTTCCCAGATGGAACAGCAGTGCTAAGGAGACCCAGAAAGTTTCTGATTGAGCTACTGTGAGTGAGAAGGCCAGCAGGATTGGCCTGTTGGCCTTCCTGGGATCATCTTCCCTCAGCCAGCCCAGGCTAGGCCCATCCCTTTCAGGTTGGAGGGCCTCACAGGCCCAGAGCCCCTCCACCCACCCCAGTCCAGGGAAAAGCTGCAGCCTAGGTTCTCACAGGCTCATAGGCGCTTCAGAACATGACTCATACATGCCCTCTTCTGCCTAGGAGTGCAGCAGAGGCAAGTTGCAGAGACACCAGCCTCTCCTTAGGACCGGGATGTTGTGGCCGCCTAAGGCGTCACATGAAAGCTGAGCGTTGTTTTGCAGTGTGCTTTGATGGCCTTGGGTGGTTTTAGCAGGTGACAGGGCAGATTCAGGGGAGGTTAGAAGGAGGCTCCTTTTCTTAATTTGGAAGTGAGACCCACACTAGGAATTGGAGGGTTCTCCAGATGCCCGCCCCCTGGGCACAGTGGGTATGCCTGAGGGACTGGAGTACTAAATGCAGAGGGAGGATAAAGAGCAGCATTCTCTACAGGGAACACATCCTTAGCTTCCAGGCACAGGCTCCTAAGAGTGAGGTCAAGGCACTGCCTTCCCTTCCCATCTCTCCCTGCTTAGGGCACTTTGCGTGCTGAGAGAAAAAGACTGAGTGGGCCCAGATGTGCCAGGACCCCAGGACCACCCACCCTAGCAGCCCAATGTCAGGCCAGTCCTGCCTGCTCCTGCTGAGCCCTCTCAGAGCCTAGATAGTTCTTTCCTCTCCACCCTTCCTTGCTTGGTACTTGGTATCTGTGTCCTCAAAGGCCACCAGTCCAGGTGTCCTCAGCCTTGGCCCCCAGTCATTCCCAGGCCCAGCCCTTCTACTAACTTGGGGCCTGTTGAGGGGCTTCAGTCCCTGCTCAGCAACATAATCTATCCACTCAGCATCCATCTCCAGGTCACTGGATTTTCCTAGGAAATTCGGATGTGTTTTACTCCTGTTTGCTGTGTGTTTGTCTACTTAGGCCAGGGGGTGCCCTTGTTTGGAGACAAGGGCCTGTGGCTTGGAAGAGGCTGGGATGCTTTTGAAAGGGAAAATAAGTATTACTCTTAAGCATGCTGAGCAGTGAGGGGCATTGGTCATCCTGGTTCAAAGAAGAGTCTTATGGAGACTAGCAGATGCCTAGGATTTTTCGGAGAGCTCTGTCTATGCTCTAGGAATGAATGGATTTGCCTCCTGGGTCCGTCTTGCCTGGGGTCTGATCTCAGGACAGTAGCAGTCCCTGCATATGGCCAGAGCAAAACCTGGCATGCTGACTGCCCTTTTGTTTTCAGAGTCCTTTCTTGGGGTGAAAGTTGACCACACTGCCCTCAGCCAGGTATTCTGAGCATCCTCTCAGCTAGTACTGTGTATCTCTGGAGAAAAGGTGCTCAGTGACCCCAGCCTCTGGCCCAAGGCCACAGGCACTAGCTAGGAGGGACTCAGCAATCCCTGGAGGTCCTCAGGCTTGGGACATCCAGGGTTAAATCCTGGCCCAGCAGGGACTGCTCCCAGCTCTGAGCAGAGTGAGTGTGACTATCAGTAGCAGTGCAATAGTTAGGTAGTGAACAGTTCCAAAGTCTCTAACCACTACCAGCCCCTCCCACCTCCTACATACTGTTCTGCATTGCCTTGGCCTCTCAGGCAAAGCAAAACTGGCTGTGGTCCGCCTCACCCAGAACTGGGGCTCTGGCTGTCCCCATTATTATTGGGGTGTGTTTTACCACCCCAAGCAAAGCTAGATCATGCCTGGTTGCAGGCATCTTTTCAGGAGTTTTGGGCGTCCTGAGACTCTGTCCTGCCTGTTGTGAGACATCTTGCTTACCAAGAAAGAGAACCAAGGGTCACTGCTGGACTGACTGGGAGCTTTATTTGTCTGCTGGGTTAATTGTCCCCCGGGAGTGTGCTGATCTTAACTTTGCTGACCCCCTTTCCCAGCACAGGCATTCTTTGGTACGCGCTTCCCTGGAATCTGAACAGAAGTGGAGCTGGCTCCAAGGACTGGCTGAGACCTCCCTGGCCATGGGCCCCTCACCCTTCGGGTTTTTCCAGCAAGACCTAGTTAGGGCTTTTCTGGCTTATGTGCCAGGCAGTCGTCAGTGGCTAGACTTAGCCTCTCTATGGCCAAAAAGTCAGGCTCTCATCTCAACTCCTCATTGACCCTGTTCTTACCCTCTGCTGGCCAGTCTCAGAAGCCTGGAGTTGCAGGAGGAGTTGGAAATGATTTTGAAAGAATAGATGGGCTTCTAATACCCAAGTCACTGTCCTGATTCTGTGTTTTCAAAGCCTCCTCTTGCCCTGCATTGAGCTTCTAGTGTAGTGATGGTGATTGAGACCTTCCACTCATACAAACAGCCCATTGTAGCATGTGTGCCATAGGTTCACCATCACTGTTGTAGTGGGAGAACAGGCAGGGAGGTCAGAACTTTGCCTTGAGCTCCTCCTGTCCCCTGGCTCTGGGGTCTGCTACTCCATAGGCTCTCCAGAGCCATCATTGAGAGGGACCATGGGCTGAAAGGCTAATGAAGGAATCAGTCCTGAATAGCACTTGGTAGCCTGATTTCCCTAGACCTTTGCACTCTGGAAGAAGGTTTCAGGAAAATGCAGACTGGAGACAGTAGGGTTGGCTAGAGTTCCTGCAGGTGAGGCTGGGTGGATTGCAGTAGGGGAGGAAGCAGGCAGGGGCAGGCCAGAGCAGCCCCCTCTCATTGCATGCCTTACTTGTGTCCTGCAGGTTAGAGGGACTCCATGACACACACTCGGAGGAAGTCCCTTTCCATGCTGAGTTCTGGCCCCACTGGCCGCCGGGAGCCCCTGCAAATGGAAGACAGTAATATGGAGCAGGGGGCTGAGGGTGTGGAGCCAGGCATGCCTGAGAGCCCTGGGCACCTCTCTGGGCGCCGCAAGAACTACCCACTGCGTAAGCGGCCATTGGTTCCTGAGAAACCCAAAGCCTGCAAAGTGCTGCTGACTCGCCTGGAAAATGTGGCCGGTCCACGGAGTGCAGATGAGGCTGATGAGCTGCCCCCTGACCTGCCCAAGCCCCCCAGCCCTGCTTCATCTAGTGAGGACGCTGGCCTCGCACAACCCCGAAAGCGGCGCCTGGCTTCCCTGAATGCCGAAGCCCTCAATAACCTGCTGCTGGAGCGGGAGGACATCAACAGTGTGACAGGTACCCGCCGAAGTCGAGGGGGAGACCCACACGGCAGCCGAGACCGCGATCGGGCTATTAGCAGCTGGTCCTCCTCCAAGAAGCGGCCTCGGCTGGGAGACCTGGGAGAAGGAAGCCGGGACCTGTCCCCAGAGCCAGCACCTGATGAAAGTGCCCGCCGAGATGGAGACCCCGCTCCCAAGAGGCTGGCTAGCCTGAACGCAGCTGCCTTCCTAAAGCTGAGCCAGGAGCGAGAGCTGCCCCTTCGGCCCCCGCGTGCCCACGCAGAAGCAGATGGGCGCTCTGTTGAGCTTCCAGCACCCAAGGTCCTACGGCCAAAGTGGGCAAAGGTCAATGGCAAGAACTATCCCAAAGGCCGGCAGGGGGCTGGCTCTGGGGAGGCTACAGGCTGGCAAGGGTGCCCTAATGAGCCAAGGCCATCAGCCACTACTCGAGGGCTATCTATCCAGCCATCTTACCAGCCCCTGAGCAAAGCTCTGGAGAGTCCATTGGGGCTGCATCCCCACCTGCCTCTCTTGATGGGGGGTCAGGCAGCCCTGAAACCGGAGCCTGGGCGCCCAGGCGAGGAGTCACCTGCTCCGAAGCAGGAACTACATCAGCCCTCTTTCCCTGCACCACAGCTGTCCCCACTGCCAATGCCTGGCAACCCTGCCGACTTCAGTGGTCTGTGTAGAGGGCCTGAGCTCACTGCCCCTGGCAGCTTCTACCTATACTGTGGCCAGGATGGGCTACAGTGTGGGGGCTACTCCCCCTGTCCCATGCTCCCTGAGGGCAAGCTATCTCCAGTGGCTGCCCCTAAGGAGGGGCTCCTCTTGGCCCCAAGCTCCGTGCCCTCAGGCAGCCCTTTCCAACACCCTTCCTGGAGCTCTTCTCACTACTGCTCCGGTGAGGACACTGGAGTGAACGGCTATAGTGTCTGTGGAGTGTTGCCTCTGTCTCTCACCCGCATTGGCACTACCTGTGGTGGCTGCCTCTACAAAATGCCTTTTGCAGCAGGTAGGCACTGCAGGTTGGGATGTTCTGGGAAGTTCTGGGACATGGTACCCTGGGGGCTGAGCTGTAGTTCCTGGCAGGGGCCCCTTGAATGTAACTACTACCTGGAAGGTAGGGGCTTTGAGAAAGGAGGTCTCACCCAGTCTTTGCTCCAAGCCTAGGAGCATATCCAGAAAAGGAGCTCCATGCTTTGTGGCTTGCTTTGCCCAGGCTACCAGTGGAGATTGTGAGGCCTGGCAGCTAGATAGCATTGCAGTGTGGAGGGTGCAGGAGGGCTCTACTTCCTCCCCACTGGGCTTTCCATAGTCTTAAACTCTTAGATACAGTAATTAGGGATTTTACCATGTTGTTCCCATGTGCCTTCTGCCCCCCGCCCCAAGGGAAGGTAGAATTCCTTTCCAGAAGCCCGAACCATCTGCATGCTGGCTGAGGTCAGCATTCACACAAAGGTTGGTGCGTTACAGGCTCAGGAGGTCTCACCAGCTGTGGTAGAGCAGCTTTGCCCTGGCCATACAGGCCTTGAAAGAGAAGGGCTGCGTAGACATAGCATCACCGTGCTAGCCATGGACAGGTGAGCATGTGCCAGGACCAGACAGGCAGAGTCCCTGGTGTGGCTGGTCGGTACAGTGTTCAAGCCCATAGTTTGCCTTCCTAGCAAGACCCAGATGTTGGAGATGTGACCCAGCTGATAAAACACCCCTAGACTGGTAGGAGTCTCCTTACCTGTCTCTCCAGGTTGCTTTCCTGACTTCTGGGTGGATGTGAGGGGACTGGAGCTACCCTGGCCAGCAGGTCTGCTGTGCTGGCTAGAAGGCAGGGGATGGGCCTTTCCCCATGCTCCCCTCCCCCCACCCTTTCTTGCAGGGGTCTATAAAAGAACTTTATAGACCACTTGGCTCTGGCCAGACTGGTTCTGTCAGGTTTTGGCATGAGTCGGAGCGCTCAGACCTGAGAGCAGGCTGCTTCTTGGGTTTTTCCTTCTCTTTTGTGCCACTCCCCAAGTCTAGACCCTTCTTGCTCACCTTACAACAAGCCCACCAATAAGCACCATGTAGCAGGCACCATTCTAAGTGCTTATGGGTTGGGGGAGTTGTGTGGCACTTAATTAGGTTTCAACTGCCTACAGTGCACTGCTCACCCCGCTCCTTGTCCACGACCATTAACTGGTAGACTGTAAAATCTCATGAGATTATTTTAAGGGTAAAATTAGTTAATATACTCATAAGGAAAATAAGCAAAAAATGCTCGAGAGGTGCAGGTGTGGGACTCATCCCCCAACCTGTCTGCAAGATCCTTGTTCCTCAGCTCTGTGGAAGCCTCAGCGGAGCTCAAGTCAGACTAAGGATGCTATTGCTACTACTTCTTTAACCTAGAAGGGAAGACAGAAACATCTGCTGTCTTGCCTGCCACCTCAGGACCTCTGTGTGCCCACTTAGAACTAAGAGAAGAAAGCTCTGAGAGAAGATGGGTGAGCAGGGTTACAGCGTGTCCTTATCTCACCCACTGTTCCCTTTTTCCAGAAGGCTGCAGGTCTCTGGGCCAGCTGGAATTCCCTCTCCCAGAAGCTAGCCACCCAGCTTCACCCGCCCACCCGCTCCTGGGATGCCCTGTGCCGAGTGTGCCACCTGCAGCAGAGCCTGTCCCCCATCTTCAGACCCCCACTTCGGAGCCCCAGACGGTAGCCCGTGCATGCCCTCAGAGCGCCAAGCCTCCCAGTGGCTCCAAGTCAGGTTTGCGCACGGGCTCTGGCTGCAGGCACAACGCCAGGAGCAAGGCCGCCCGCAGGCCCAGCCACCCCAAGCAGCCACGTGCCCAGCGCCCTCGCCGCCGCCGCCGCCGCCGCACCAATGGCTGGATGCCTGTTGGGGCTGCCTGTGAGAAGGCCGTCTATGTCTTGGTGAGTGCCAGCTCTTAGCTGATGGGGAGGGATAGGGATGTAGTAAGATGGCTTTGGCTATGCACAGGTGACTAAGGACGGCAGCTCACTTGTACCCTAGGAACCAGTTCTGCTGGCCCAGGCCCCTGCCTGAACCTTTGCACTACTCACAGCTGGTGGTTTCTGTCTGTCACTAAATCCTGGTGTAGCCCTGATGTTTCTTCATGTCTCATCTTTGCTCACTCTGTCCCTTCCATCCTAAGCTATCATTCAGTTTTGGTTTATAAATTGGAATACTTTCTGGAGATTTTTCTTGGCAAGTATCAATAGGGGAAGTTGGGATGGGCAGAGAAAATTAGTGATACGAGAACATCAGTGTTAATGAAGAGTGCCAGCTAGAATGCAGCACATACCTACTAAATTTGATGTCACAGCCAGTATGTCACCTTTGCCTTCTGTGATATAGGCCCCATGATCCTGTAACCATCCCCATTTTACAGGTGACAAACCTGAAGCTTAGCAGTAGATTCAAGAACTCTCCCAAGACTATGCCATTTAAAGCAGTGGCTTAGGGTTTAAACCCAGACAGCATTTCTTTTTTTTTTTTAATTTTGTTTTTGGTTTTTTGAGACAGGGTCTCACTATGTAGTTGAGATTGACCTGGAACTCACTATGTAGCCCAGGCTGGTCTCGAACTCAGAGCGAACCTCCTGCCTCAGCCTCCCGAGTGCTGGGATTACAGGTGTGTGCCACCACGCCCGGCCCCGAGACAGCACTTCTTTGAGAGAGTGAGGGCATAGGCCTCTGCTGAGTAAGAGCAGCTTGGAAGCTTTGGTCTGCTCTCCCACCTGTGTCCATTTCCCTTCTTTTCTCTTAGCATGAGAATTCCCACCCCACCCTATCATTGAAAACCAAGCTTGGAGAGAAAGGCCCAGTGTACCAGTATGCTTGGTTGTTAGACCATCCTGAGGAAATTGTAGGGAAAATGCCACTCACTCCCTCCGTCTGCCTTCTCCCTGTGCAAGGATCTGAAAGCCTATCAGTGTCACTGGTTTGTTGTCTAGGATGAGCCAGAACCAGCCATCCGAAAGAGCTACCAGGCAGTAGAGCGGCATGGAGAGACAATCCGAGTCCGGGACACTGTTCTCCTCAAGTCGGGTCCAAGAAAGACATCCACACCTTATGTGGCCAAGATCTCTGCCCTCTGGGAGAACCCTGAGTCAGGTACACATTCTTTGTGTTGAGGATCCAAGCAGCAGCTGCCTTTACTAGAACATTAGGCCCCTGGTCAGTCCCTGCCTGGACCTTGGCCTGCCACAGGTCTTCCCAACCAGGTAAAGAGTCTGCCTTCCACTCAGCTGGGATATGCCTGGTGCCAAGGCTGTGATGACCTGGTGGCTTGGGTTGTCAGCCACCAGAGCACCTGTTCCCAGCACTCACCTGTCAGTGCCTCCTCCCTGGCTTCCCCCATGACTAACAGCCTTCCAGGCAACTGAATGCTTGCCTTGGAGCAGGGAACATGGTACCTGGAGCCTGAGGGACAGGGACAGGCATTGAGTTTGGACAGGCCTGTAGGGCAAATGGCCAGCCTGTCTGCCTGAGTAACCAGGGTTGCCACCTTCAGCGTGATCCCTTCTGTCACCCCCTCAGGAGAGCTGATGATGAGTCTCCTGTGGTATTACAGACCTGAGCACTTACAGGGAGGCCGGAGCCCCAGCATGCATGAGGTGAGCTGCTTGTCAGGGGCAAGGAGGGTGGCATGGAAGAGCACAAGGTCGTGGTGCTGAGACATGGCATGGGGAAGGCATGACTACTATGTCCTTGGGCTTGCCACTTGGTACTCCAGAAAACCTAGGGAGCCACCAGAGTTTAGCCTTTTTTCCAGCACTGCCCTGCTCATGTTTCAAAGGAAATAATAACCTTTATCTTCTAAAAGGGGTAGAAGGGGAGCCCTTAATTCCAGGGCTTGCCAAATGTTGTAATAGAACAGGTGAGGTGGCCTCTACCCCTCGCCCTGATTCCCTGCAGCATGAAAAGGCCAGGAGATGAGACTCCTCCCTTCATCTGCCTGTTGTCCAGACTCACCTTTTACTTCCTTTCCCTTGCAGGGACTTTCATCTAATGGGGAAGATGAGAACCAATTCTTTCCTCCTATGGGTAGAGGGTGGGCAGAAGGGATCTAGAGGTCTTGGGAACTAGAGCAGGTAGCCAACTATTTCTGGGTAGATGGGTCCTGGGAGGAGCCTAGCGGGAGTATCTGGAGGCAATGAGGCACACTTACCAAGAAGCTTGCTAGAGTCAGCCCAGGTCAGCAAGGTAAGGCCTGCATCTCCTGGAGTCAGGTGCCTTTCAGTGCTGATAACCAGCCTATTGTCTCACCTTGAGCCTTTGCAGAATGAAGTTTTTGCATCTCGACATCAGGACCAGAACAGTGTAGCCTGCATTGAGGAGAAATGCTACGTGCTGACCTTTGCAGAGTACTGCAGGTGGGTGGAGCCCTGCAGCCTCTGGCTGTCCTCTCCCCTTGGACTCCCTGGGGCTGTTGTGGGTGGTGGGGCATGGGATGCATGGAGGTGGCACTCTGCTTGGGTCCAGTCTTAGTACCAGCCCTAATCTCCCAGAACTTCTTCCTCACAACCTGCCTCCATCATCTGAGTGTTTGAGAATGAAGAAGAAAAACTGTTGCCCCACTGAGATAGCCTGGTTGGAGCAGAGCTGAGGTCTGACAGTACTCCCTTTGTAGAAAATGTAGAACTGGCAGGTGATTGGAAGGGAGCCCTGGCAGTGGATCTTTCCCATGTCTAAGAAGATGAAGTGGTTGGCAGAGCAATCCTAGCCCCCAGAACGGGCAGGAGGCCCCCTTGGGAGCAGGAAGGGCTATCCCAGCTCTCTGGGTAGGATGGGGAAGGAATTGTTCTTCCTGTAAAAGTGGCTCTGGTAAAGACAGCAGACGGTCTATTGCTACAGATTCTGTGCCATGGCCAAGCGCCGAGGTGAGGGCCTTCCCAGCCGGAAGACAGCACTGGTGCCCCCGTCTGCAGACTACTCCACCCCGCCACACCGCACAGTGCCCGAGGACACGGACCCTGAGCTGGTGTTCCTTTGCCGCCATGTCTATGATTTCCGCCATGGCCGCATCCTCAAGAACCCCCAGTAGCCTCCTTGTGCCCCTACTGGGGCTGCCCATGAGCAAGTGGGGTTCTGGGCATGGGGCACTGCTTGAAGCACAGCACTTGGTGAAGGGGCCACAGGGTCTAGGTTGCTATCCTGTGGTTTTCTTGGGGGGTGAGGGCAGGGGCTACTGTGGATTTTGGGCCCCTGGAAGGGAAGGGAAGGTCAGGGTATAAGAAAAGCATCAGGGCCCTCAGCTTGGCCCAAGGTGCCTATCTGTGGTTTCCTGGGAGGAGACTCCTGAAGAAGCAGTCTTCCCTGAGGCTGGGTCACACCTGAGGGACACAGGCTATGGAGGGGCCTGGCCGAGGAGGAGGAGTAATTTCATCCAGGAACCAGGCCCAACAGGCCCTTCTGTAGTCTCCCCTAAGCCCTCCACAGGGGGCAGGAGCCAGCTTACCTCACCTACTGTGACCGGCTGCTTCCCTTGTCAGCCTGGGACCAGGCTCTCCCAGATTCTAGCACAGTTCTGAGCTTGTTCCTTTGAGGCATAGAGAGCCAGGGACTAGCTTCCAGAGCATTGACTTCTTCCTAGACTTGGGGCCTCTCCCTGGCTTTCCTCCTTTGCCCCTGCAGTAGCCACTGGTGCTGGGACAAGTTGATCCGGCCCTTAACAGTCACAGGTGGCCCACTTGTGGGAGTCAGCCTCCTGTCCACCTATTGAAGGCCACCTAGCACGTCTGGCTTCCCAGAGAGTTAACTGATTATTGTGGAGTTTGTCATGTTTTAGAGGACAGATGGGTTCTGGGAGAGAGTAGGGGGCAGGGGACAAGGAAAATTGCTACCTGATTTGTTGAAGATTTTTCCTCTTGCCTTACACTTGGAGGTTCTGGGAAACCTCTTGCAGAACTTCACACATGACTCTTTAAGCCACACGCACCTGAAATCAAACCAAAGGAGCGCTGTGGCTCCCCTTGCCCTGTCACCCCCTTCCCTAGTCTTTTGTAGATTGCACTAATTTACATCCCAGCCAGAATCAACACTGTACCAGTCCACAGACCTGCTGAGCTGCAGTCACTCACTTGAGGAGCTGCGGACCTGCATTTTCAATGTGTTCAATGCCCCGAGGCCCTGCTCTCACCTCAAGCTGCTCACTGGAGTAGACTGATGAGGCAGCTCAGCCCCCTATTGTCCTGTCCTGGACTAGACTGGCCTTGACCCTGGACTCTGTAGGGTGATAGAGGCCTGGTTATTCCCTATTTGTACCAAAGAGGAGCATGGTGGGGAGGAGTGGGTACACTGTGGCTTGGACCTGGTGCTGAGAACCTGCTAGCTGAATTCTTCCACAAGGCGGGAGCCAAGGAAGGCAGCACTGGGTCCTCCCCAGGGTTGGGGACAGACAGGCCCAGCAGGTTGTGGAGGTGGCACTGGGTGAGGACAGTCCACAGGGGCTGCAGAGGGAGGTGGGAGGTGGAAATGAGTCCTGAGGGCACCGCTGGACCCTGTCGTGATCTTAGAAGATGGCTTGTTCCTGATTGGTTATTGGGCTGAGTTGGGCCTGGAGACCTCCGAGTTGCATTTCCCACCCCTGAAGGGGAAACTGGTCACCTTGTATTGAATAAGCTGTTTGGAGGAAGGCATGAGCCTGGGAGGGCAGGGCAGTAGAAGTGGTTGGCTGACTTGCAGTGGGGACCCTGGAGAGCCAGCCCATGGAGCCTTCTGATTCCCAGGGTGTTGTCAAGGGGTTCAGCCTCACCTATAGGAGAGATCGAGGCCTGTCCTCCCAGAAGGCAGGTCTGCTGCCCAGGACTTAAACGCTTTTGAAATCTTAGATGTGGAAATATTTTTTCGAACCTGAAAATGCAGCTGGTAGAATTTCAATGGACGCATAATCCATGTAAAATATATTTTAGTTGATATTTTGTAAAATGCACTTTTTGTGTGTGTCGATCCTGGTTCCCCAGATCTGTATTTCAGTGTTTACAAGGGAGGGGGACCTTTCCTCACCTTCCTTTTGACAGAGATTAGAAGTACTTCTTTAAGAAAAAAAATAATAAATTTGAGAAATTGTATTGATTTAGAAAAGGATCGTTTCCTGTGTGTCCTGTCATTTTTGGTATGTAAATGTGGGGGGACTCACTGTTCTTACTGCATTGGGTCCTATTCTCTTCTGGCACAGGTGCTAATGGAGGCCACTAAACATTGAGCGTAGGAAAATTGGGGGGAAAGAATAAGCAAAGGGAACAGGAATTTGAGGTTGACTCTTGACACCATGGTGGTCATAGCCACCTGCCTGGGTGTGTGAAATTTTTGGATTGCCCACTGTGACCTGGCAACTTGTCTCAGGGTACATTACATGGTGAAGATAGATGGTCACACTGTGGAACCATCCAGCAGAAACTGTCCCAGGGCCTTTGTCTTGTAGCTGGTGCTCCTTCATCACTGTGGGAGTGGAGGCCATATTGTGATGGACTGGCCGGTGGTGCAGCTCAGCCTTGAAGCATCAGTGTTGGCGGGGCTCAAGGGGTGGCTGATTCTAATGCTATGGGTGGGCCAGGGATTTAGCTCACTGGTTCCACGGCCTGCCTTGCAAGCACAAGGACCTGCGTTTGATCCCCAGTACCAAAATACAACAACAAAAAAAGAACAAAATGCTAATGCTGTGGGGGTTCTGGAAGGCAAAGCAAGGCTCCATGGCTCTTGAGCTTGCTTTCCTTGGAGTTTTCAGCAACACAACTGATGCAGCACTGCCCTCGTGTACTGCCCACAAGAGTCCCAGGAGCTGGCTGGTGGCCTATCCTCCTTTTACAGACAGGGAACTGGCACGTAGATAAGCACCTTGCTCAAGCCCTCACCCCCCACCCCAAGTAAGAACGACTGCCTCATTGACTGCTAGCACATTAAACTACCCTCCAGCAGAGAAATGCGCACGTGGTCAAATTGTCAAAAACTTTCCTCTCCCAGCATAAAAGGTCTTTCTTCCCCCTCTGTATGTTAGGAGGAAAATGATCGCAGTAGAAACTAATCTGCCACCAGGAATCGATCTCTAGTACTATTGGAAGCAAGTGGCAGTTGGGTGAAGGCTACCTGTGGTCTGAGAGGTGCCCCAGCTTGCAGGGGAGATGCAGAAAGACCCTCAGAATCACCTCTCCCCCGACTTACCCTGTGTGCTCCCATATTCCTGGGACCCGGAAGCTTATCTGTGCACCCTGTAATTTCATCTCATCCCCAGAACCCCCCATCTAATCAGTGTTCACTCCATCCCTCCCTACTGTAGTGTCTTTTGTTCTTTTCCATCACCCTGTCCTGAGGTCATCTGCTTCCTCCTATCCATTCCTTGTGCTCCACTAATTTCTGAAGCATCATAACCGGGAATTAAGGTTTTAGAATAAGACTAACTCGCACTGAGTTTCAGCGTCCCTGAGCCTCTTTGCTACTTGTGCTGTACAACGCCCATGGTACCTAACAGCCCAAAGGGTGGCTGTGACAAGTGAAAAAGGAAGTTTAAAATACTTGGCAGGCACCTGCCTCAATCCTTTGGCTGCCCTGCTTCAGAGCCTTACTGGCAGCCTATACACAGCATGGTCAAGTGTAGATGCTTAGGTTCCTAGTTCCAGTGGGGATGGGTGACGGCAGACATGCCCAGCACTCCTGATCTGCCTCCAGCCACGGCCAGCCCAGTCCTCCTAAGCACACATACTTGGCACCAGGCAAGGAGGCTGCTTGATGTTCCCTGCTGCTCTGTACCTCCAGCTCATCCTTCAAGAAGTACCCTGGCCCAGCATACCAGCGCTCCTGACTGAAGCACAGCTTGTCATTAGCCTCTGTCCAGAGTGTCCCTGTTACCCCAATGATGTGGGCTTAGAGGTTGCGCTTCCAGCATTACCCAGAGGATAAGCATCACAGTCCTCAGGGACTGCTAAGTTTCAGGGCTAGTGCCTGGCCATCTCGGTTCTCCTTGCTGCAGTGCCAGGACCTGCTGGACTGAGGGAGGTAAGGGCACCTAGGGGCACGCACACTGGGGAACTCTGCTTCCAGCCAGAAAGACAGGCCTCTTTCCTGTCCTTGCGTCTTTCCCTCCCCCTGCAGCCTCCCTGCCTTCAGACCCCAGTGGATGGGCTGGCCAGGCTAGACAAGAGTCGAGGGCAGGGTGGTGGATGCAAGGCCTCGACCAGATCTCTGAGGGGCCACGCGCTGTGGGAGGCGGAACCAAGGCCTGGCTCTCTGCCGCGCTGGTCTTGTCCCCAAGCCCGATGGCTGGAGCAGCCCCCGCTCTGGCGCCCTCTCTAGGGTGGGGGTCCCCTTGTAGCCCGCCCCCGCAGGGACGCCCTAAAGAAGTCCTGGGAAATTTCATTAATTCAATAACCAACACTAAAAACAAAACAAAACAAATAATGAAACAAATTCCTAGAAAAAGACAATGGAGTGCCAAACACCATGAGGCCCAAAAGAGTAAATCAATTATGGAAGGCAAGAAAGGAAAGGTAGAGGCTGAAAATATAAAAGTGCCAACAAGAGAAAAATATCATGACAAATTTAAGTCTATCTATATCAGTTAGGACCACCAGTGTCAATGTCATCAATTCATCCATCAAGAGAAATAGAATAGCCCAATGGATTCAGAAGAAAAACACGGCAAAATGTTGTACACAAGAAAGACACCCAGGGTAAAATAAACACATAGAAGTAAGTGAAAGGGTTGGAATACAGTTCTAGGTGACAGGGTCCCAGAGAAATACTGGGGTATTCACTTTTTCCCAGAAAAGTAATTTTCAAAACAAATCTGATTAAGAGAAATAAAGACAAGCAGAGTAGTGAAACATTGAAGGGAAAGAGATGGCAATCATAATTAAAATTGCACCAAATCTTAATGACCTCTTACAATATAAAACGAATATTAAATAATACAAAAATGAAATGAGTTTAATAGAATTATTCCTAGGATCAAAAATATAGAATTCTTATAAATGACCCCTGCTACTGCCGTCCATGCTGATGTTCGCGGTGATCGTTGCCTCCAGCGGGCTGCTGCTCATGATCGAGCGGGGCATCCTGGCCGAGATGAAACCCCTTCCCCTGCACCCGCTCAGCCGCGAGGGCGCGGCCTGGCGCACTGCATCCCCCAAGCCTGGGGCGCCGTCCCCGGAGGACCGGGACTCGGACCTGCGAGTGCTGCAGGACGTCCGGAACCGGACTTTGCGGGCGTTGTGCCGGCAGCCAGGCATGCCAAGGGACCCCTGGGACCTGCCGGTGGGTCAGCGGCGCACCCTGCTGCGGCACATCCTCGTGAGTGACCGCCACCGCTTTCTTTACTGCTACGTCCCCAAGGTGGCCTGCTCTAACTGGAAGCGGGTGCTGAAGGTGCTGGCCGGCGTCCTGGACAGCGTGGACGTCCGCCTCAAGATGGACCACCGCAGTGACCTGGTGTTCCTGGCGGATCTACGGCCCGAGGAGATTCGCTACCGCTTGCAGCACTACTTCAAGTTCCTGTTTGTACGGAACCCCTTGGAACGCCTCCTCTCTGCTTATCGCAACAAGTTTGGCGAGATCCGCGAGTACCAGCAGCGCTATGGAGCCGAGATTGTGAGGCGGTACCGGCCTGGATCCGGACCTAGCCCAGCAGGAGATGATGTCACCTTCGCAGAATTTCTGAGATACCTGGTGGAAGAGGACCCAGAGCGCATGAACGAACACTGGATGCCTGTGTACCACCTGTGCCAACCCTGTGCCGTGCATTACAACTTTGTGGGCTCCTATGAGAGGCTGGAGACTGATGCCAACCAGGTGCTGGAGTGGGTGGGGGCACCACCCCATGTCCGGTTCCCAGCTCGCCAGGCCTGGTACCGACCAGTCAGCCCCGAAAGCCTGCACTATCATCTGTGCAGTGTCCCTCGGGCCCTGCTGCAGGATGTGCTCCCCAAGTACATCCTAGACTTCTCCCTCTTTGCCTACCCACTGCCTAATGTCACCAGGGAGGCCTGCCACCAGTGACCATGGGTGTGAGGCCAGCAGCTTTTGGGTACTGGTTTTGATGCCAGCTTCCACCTGCCATTTAGAGAAACTCTGGCTCTGGAGCTTGGGGCTTTTGCAGAAGCCAGGATGGCAGGGACTGCCCCAGGAGCTCCTAGGCCAAATTGGGTACCTGCAGTGGCTCAGAGACAGGTAGAGACAGGAGGCTGCTGCTCCCTACTGGGGGTATCTCGAGTGCCAGTGTGGGCTGGTTTGCTTTGTCCCATCTACTCCTGGACACTTCGGGCTCCTGGCTGCAGAGAATGTGCCACCTGGTCCACCTTACTTTAACCTGTGGCCAACCCCAGAGGTGGCACCAACTAGGAGCACTGACCCTGTTGCTCTGACCCCGCATTTACCCACCCCGTGTGCCTCGGGACTGGAGTGAGCAGTTGTGCCTTGTAAATGACTTTGTTGCATTCCTGCTCCAGACAAAATTCACTGCACTTGCCAGAATTTTGTCCTTTTTTTTTTTTTCCTTCCAAGGAAAGGAAAAACTGAAGCAAGGCCCTTGCCTGGTAGCTGCAGGACGTGGCCCTGCAGACATCCAAATATCCAGCCTCCTCTTAGAGCTCTGGGAATGTCCACCCTAATTCTCTCTCTCCTCCCTGCAAGGCCTTCAAGATTACACCTGTGGCTGGCATATCCAGCTGAATTCTTATAAGCCCACCCCCTGTAGCTGATTTTTTAAATAAAGCTGTTTGTATACAAAGTGAGCTTCTCTGTGACTGCCCCTCTGAACTGTTGCGGGTGAAGCAAGCGTCCTAGATGTCTTATCTCCCAGGTCAAAAGAGGCAGCTTGCAGGTAGAGATAGTAAAACAATGTATAACTTGCTTGGGCAGGTTCAGTGGGCAATTGCCAAACCATGGATCCCTCCGGGGCTTCTCATAGGACATACTGGATCTGAGATGCCACCAAAGCACAATCCGGGTTAGGAAAGGCCCTGGGTCCAAAGCATACCTACCTGGATTATTTCCTGAAGAAGTGAGTATGGAGGAGAGATGGGCTCTGCCTCTTCTTAGGCAGGAATACTTCAGTCCTTTTCCTTTCCTGAGATGGGATAGGGCTGGCCTGCTTTGATCTTCACAGCTCCTGGGACTACAGTGTGTGCTGACACACCCAGCTCAGGCATACTTCTTGAGTGCCCCCAGAGTGTTTTCAGATGAGCCAGAGATGGGTTATTTCCTGGCACTGAGAATTCAAGGAACAGGGTGGGGATGTATCTAGTGGTAGAGCACTTAACTGGTTTGCATGAGGCCCTGGGTTCCATCCTCAGCACTGCAAGGGGTGGGGAGGCAAGGAGTTGCCTTAGGTGCAGGACATTGTGGGCAAGGTGGGAAGAATACAGTCAGAGGAGGAGAAGATAGGGCCATTGTGGTCTGACTCCCCCTTGGCCTGCACTGCTCCCAGGCCCACCAAGGGCTACCCCTGCTATACCCATGCAAGAGATGCAAAGCCAGAGCTGGCTCTTCCCTGTTAGATCTCCCAGCATGGGCTGCTACACTTTAGGGACCTGATCCTCTGGTAAGCAGTGAGGGTGGCCCTTACAGGTGCCATCTGTACCTAGCCTTGATGTTGGCCTGACTTTGCAGAGAAGCATTGCTTCTGTTACCCAGATTTGGGGGAATGGCCTCTATGGGCACTCACGACTCTCTGCCATCACTCACCGGCAGAACTTACCTGATCCCCTGTCTGTGTCAAGGTCCCTTCAGCTCTGGAGACTTCACTTACACTGGTCAAAACCAAGTTCTACTCTCCAACTGTCTTATTTTTTTGAATCTCCATTTCCCCACTGCATGGGAATAATAATGTCCAACCTATGTTGATTAATGAAGACAAAATGAGCAAAAAAGCCCACCCCAAGCCCAGTTCTGGGTATTCTTTGAGATGCTGGTTAAACACCTGATCTCTGAGACCTGTGGGGATGAGGAAGAAGCCAGGACACTTTCTAGCCCAGTGCTGTAGTCACAAGGTCTGGGTGGAGCCCCTTTGAACTCTGGGTTCACTTCCTCTCCCAGTGAGTCAGTCTTTCTGTGAGTTGCCAGGCCCTCAGGAGCCCTCCACCCTTCTCCTTCCTCCTCGCCTGGGACCTATGGACTTCACTACAGGAGCCAATTAGTCCCCCACCCAGAGGTCTTCAGGAGGGAATCCAGACCACCCAGAGAATGCTGAGCCTCATTCAAATTCATTCTAGAACAGCTTTAGGTATTGACTGTTTTACAAAGAAGGTAAGTAACCTGCCCAAGGTGTAGCTAGTGCTTCCCAAATAGGGAAAGAAAGGGACAGATGAGCCCACACAGGGAGAGCTAGTTTATGGAAGATGGGAGTAGAGAGAAGAGGAACTAGGAAGTGACATTAGATGAAGGAAAGATGGCTTTGTGGGTAGGAGCATTTCCCAACATTCTCCCTACTCTCTTCTTCATTTGCAAAGAATCCAATCCAGTCAGGCAGACCAGTCCCTGCCCCACACGAGTGGGAGACAGATGAAGTTCCTTGACATGCTTAGTTTATTGGCTATCCCCTCCCAGGTAGGAAAGGGCTGCTGGACCACGGAGCATCCTGATGGCCAGAGCTGAGCACCTGTGGGGAGGAAGGAAGAGGAGCAGCAAGACCAAGTGCTGCCTAAGAAGCAGCCCCTGAAGAACAAGTTAGCAACAAGTTGTCATCTACCCTTCCATTCCAGGAATGAACTCCTTAGAAGGTGTAGTGGTACACGCCTATAATCCCAGCACTCAGGAGGCTGAGACAAGAGGATTTCAAATTAGAGGCCAACCTAGGCTATATAGTAAAACCTGGTCCTAGGGGAAAAAAAGCTGCCAAGGAGCTATGGGGTCAAGCCAGCGCTCATGGAACTTGCCTTAGACTGGCAGACAGGCCAGAACTGTAGGGTCCTGCAGGCTCTGGGTCACCAGGAATGTGGCTTCTGAGGACCATGTCTTCTGGGATTCTCCTTTTCCTGGGTCAGCTCTGATCCCCACAGAGCCAAGCCCTGTGCTATGGGCTGGCGCCTAAGAGGACAGGGGCTGTCAGAAGATGCTCATTCCAAGCAGCTCAGGTCTCCCGGGCACAGCAGGTTGGGGTGGCATTGCTAACTTCTCCTGAGCCGAGGGCCTTGAACAGAGGGACCGGAAGCCCCAAGGGGTCTGGACTTCAGGCCTGGGCTCTGACTGCTTAGCCCATGTGAAGCCACTGCACAGAAACCACCTATACTTTGAGGTCCTTTCCCTCCTCCCTTTTCTTCTTCTTCCCAGGAGGTGACACAACACCTGTTCCAACAACAAGCAACGATAGCAGAGGAACTGCAACCCCACCACCTGAGCAAATGCACATCCCTCCCCTCTCCCATGGGCCCATCACCAGAAAGGGCCAGGCCCCATCCACTCCCAGGATGGATCCCTTCCCTTTCTTTTCAAACCTGCTGCTGCCTGGCCTCAAGCAAGCGAAGGACTTTCTTTCTATTCTCCAGAGAAAACAGTAAACTAGCTGGATTTGTTGGCACATGCCTATAATCCCAGCATGGAGAGGTTAAGGCAGGAGGATCACCAAGAATTTGAGGCTATCCTGGGCTACATAGTGAGATCAAGGCCAGCCTATATTCCTGGCACTTGTGAAGCTGAGGTGGGAAGATCATGAGTTAAAGGCCAGCCTGGGCTTCATAGAGAACCGTCTCAAACCAAACAAAATGTGACAGGCATGGCTAGTGCCTGTAATCCTGGCACTCAGGAGGTTGACCCAAGAGAATTTCCATAAATTCAAGGACAGCCTGAACTACAAAGAGAGAACCTATCTACAAACAAACAAGCAAACAAACAAAACAACAACAGCGAAAAAACGGCACCACCAACAAAACCAACCCTAACAGCTCAATAGTAGCTGTAAATTGGGAGCACCTGTGCTATCACAAAGTATATCCTCTCTGACTTTATAGCAACCCAGCTTAGTAAGTAAAATTACATCCATTCAACTTTTTTTTCAGCTTTTATTTTACATTAGTACCTGTACAGTGTATAACGATCACATTCCTCATGAGGCATTGTCACCTGCACATAACACCTCTCAATTCTTTTTTTCATCCCCTTCCCTTTCTCCCCCTCTCCTCTTCCTCCATCTCTTGATCCCTTTCCCCTTTCCAAAAGATCTTCCTGCCTATTTTCTGTCAGCTTTTATTTTGCTCTTTATTACAAATAAATTTTGGGTTTCTCATATAAGAGAAACCGTGTGATATTTAAGCTTATGTGTCTGACTTATTTCCCTTAACATTATGGTCTCTATCCCCATTTTACAGATGTAGAAATTAAGCCTAAGTGATTTTTCCCTAAATTATACTACAGAACCCAGATCATGAATGTACTAGACTGTCAGTCAGGTCCTAAGAGAAGCAAGTGTGCATAGAGTTAGATATGCAAAACTTGTACTGGAGAAAACACTTGGGAAAAGTAAAGGGGAAAGGAACAAGGGAAAGCAGAAAGCCCAGTCCTGGAAAAGGAGAGCAGGAAGGAAGAATCGGATTTCAGTGGGCTCAGAGAAGCCTTAGAGGCAGGCGGGCAGACTCAGGCCCACGAAAATGGCCCATTAGGAGCAGGTTGTGGTGATGCGTGCCTCTGTGCCTCTGATCCCACCACTAGGGAGGGGGATCAAGAGTTTGAGGCCAACCTGACCACACAGCAAGACCTTGTGTGTGTGTATATATAGTAAATAAATGAAGTTTTAAAAAAGAAAAACCATTTGAAGGCCACCTCCATGAGCAGAAAGGGCCCTGTGCATGTCCCCACCCTAGCTCAGGCACTGGCTTGAAGCAGCACTTGCAGCAACAGGCAGAAATGAGCTGTGGCAGGACTGTACCACCCGCATTCTCCCGGCCAATTGTGCCTCCATGGCTCCCCACAGACCCAGCATGCCACTGGAACATCCAGGAATGCGGCTTCTGCTGACATAATGACCTTTTGAACACTCAGGAAATAGTTTCTGATCTCTTTATCTCTGGGTGTCCGTGGGTCCTGAGCTAAACTCTTCTGGGACAATCCCTGGCCTTGTAGCCGAACCACTGCCCCAGGCTTCATGCAGGCACCGGAAAACGTGTCAACCTTGTGCCCATAGATGTCCACCCTATGATTTCAGGGTGTTTTCACTGTGATTTACCCAGTTCCCTGCAGGTTTTGTTTGGATGGTCACCTTTCTTGGCAGCCAGGTGACCTCCCTCCTTTCCTCCCTCAGAGGCTTGGGTCCTCTTAAGAGATACACTCAGCCAGAGATTGAGTTTAGATGCTGTGCTGTGGACCTCCTTGGGAACATAGCTCAGTGGCCTCCAGTGGGACTTAAACTCCAAGGCAGCCTGGGAGGGAAAAGTTTCCCAGACAGAACTTCCCAGGTATCTACTTGCATGAATGCCAAATTGTGTGTGGTGCCCTCTACAGCTGCCTACTGATTGACACTACAGAGAGTCCCCATGGAGGCAGAAAATCACTGTCAGTCTGAGTTTGCCACTGTGAGGGGAG